CACTTACTCAGTATTAATTTCATAACAAGAAATTTTTTGTAATTGTTCTTATTCGACAAATTTTCCGGAAATTTTGTTACTTGATTTTTTATTGAAACAGTATTATTTTTATTAATGCTAAAATTTTTTACTTCTATTAATACTAAAATATTTGCTACTTATATATATATAAAGTCGATTTATTCTTTGTCGTCTTCGTATTATTAGCCATTTTTCCAGTTATGCATAATACTTTTGTAACTCACCTCGGGTCCAGCACCAAGAGCTTTGCAACGAAATCTTTCGCCTGCGCCGAGATATCGCCAAACAATTCTTCGGGAAAATCCACTTCGCCCAGGGAGATGTTTTGAAACGTTTCTTGATCGGTTTCACCGCCAAAAGGGGAAAATCCCGTTAACAAAACGTAAGTCGTTACACCCACGGACCTTGAATAATGGTAATATTATTCGAACTATTCGGTAAATAACTGGTAGAATTTAATAACTGAGGAACTTTCTCAAAGATAAGATTGTGCCGAAGGTTTTAATTTTGAAAGATACATGGAAATCTGCAATTCGAAGCGACAAGTCTAAGATGTTTTATAAGAAAGCAATTTCATTGAAATCGATTATTTGTTTCTAAATATTCGATGTATATTTAACTCGAAAACCAAATAAAAAGATGGTTAATTTGCAGCATAGTGAACTTAAAAATCAATCGTCTATAAAAATATGATTATCTATATTCTCTCCTCGTGATTTTCAATTACAATAGACAATACAAGGAGCATTGTTCCTTTTATATTTACAATATTAAAAAAAAATTCATAATAATTGAACTATTTGTCATACATTTATACATGTCTATATTTATTATTATTTTATTATTCATCTATGTCTTTCATTATATATATTTTATTTCATTACGTTTATTATCAGTTGTATTCTTTTACGTACCACATATCAGCAGCCAACGTGATCGGTTCGTAGTGAAGAATTTCAGGAGCTGAAATTAAGAGAAATATAGGAATTAAGAGAAATGTTATTTAGTCGAATTCGATTTCGTAATATCATCTAGCGACGTCATGTTTTTTGTTTGCAAACGAAAGTCGACGGAGCTTCGTAGGCGTCGATGATCGAAGGAATAATTTAATTCCTAATTTACACTTTAAAGGACAGTGAGGTACAGGATGACGTATATCGTTGTTAAAAAAATATCAAATTAACTACGAATGTTTAAATTTATATTTTTATTACTTATAATTTTGACTCGTTGGTTAAATATATTTCTACGTTGAATTAAGATAGTATAATTTTAACGTGTTAATTTGCATATTTTCCTTTCGTCCTCAAGGGAAGAGACCCGAGTTGTTCAAAAACAGCGAAGCTTTGTACATTTTTTTCAGAGATAGTTCCTACATGAGAAGTTTTCTTTTTTTGAACTATAGTTATAAACGTAGCCTTCGAGCGAAATTGCGAAGCAAGATAACTCGTGGAAGCGAAATATCGTAAAGATTAATCAGTATCTCTACTTTAAACTACTCGCTCGTTGATCCTGATTAAAAATTTCATTTTCACTTTTATATCATCGTAGAATAGACGAAGATAGAAACGAGCTCTATCTCTGTCGTGCGTAATTGAACGCACGTGTGATACTTCATACGCATAAATGTCGCATATATGCTCGTTTACATATTTAATACGCGCAAACATCCGGTACTCTAATTGTTACGGTAAGTTTCCAAGGCATTATGAAGTTAATAAAATTCGCGCAGAGATTGAACGCGACGGGTTTCCTTGTGAATACGATTGAATAAAATGATCGAGACACGATGGCTGTCCTCGTTCATTTCGAGAAACGCTAAACGCGATTAAGATATTCAACGATACGCGAATCCAGCTCTTTTATTCGACGGATCGATACGATCAACGGGGATAATGGCGTGCGTTCAATTATATCGTTAACTATGCGGCCTACGACCGAGGCTCTTTCATTGAATATGCTTTATACGCCTGTTCTGCTGTTACGCGGCATAATATCATTCTGCTCGAGCGAAACGCAACGTGATGATGTCGCGAACAATGAGAGCGAGTCATCGTTCGCTCGAAATTAGTGACAGAATGAAAAATACGCGTCTTCGTTACACGTTAATGCAACGTTTTACCTGTAATTTTTGTGTATTATTAAATGCGAATTTTTCTTAATATATCAGGAGTGCGAAGAGAAAATTTGAAGTACGCGCTACATATTTGTTCATTGTCGTTTTGTAAATTTTAATTACCAGGCGAGTAATTTATTTATGCGATATCTTCGAAAATTCACGCACAATTTTGCAGCTTAGACACGTTAGAGTTTCGAGAGAAATAATAATTTTCTATAAATATATTATTCGTTATAGATATTACTATTATAGTTATAAGTGTTTCTTACTTCATTGAAAATATTTATTTCACTCGAGAAAGAAAAGACTAATTCGGGACAGCTTTTAACGAAATATATGCTCCATTTCCTTGAAAACGAGTATTATATTTTCTACTTCTCACGTAAGAAATTTTCAGATGTAATGGTTTTATTCCATATTTTTTTTTCATCACATTCTGTATACATGTACCGTAAATGACGAATTGTTCTCAGTTGTTTAACTCGTACCATACACGTTATTTATTTAATTTATTAAATTATTTAATTTATTACAACAGTATGTCAAAGAATAATACTGTCTTCGTCGTTTTAACGAAACATCCTGTAAATAACCGTATTATCGGTCGCCGAATGATATATCGCGTGCATTATTTTACGACGCGAGTTTACTGCGATCGAACAGGTAAACAGGTGTGTCGGCACTTTGCTCCCAGTTGCCAGTTAATTGCTACCAATCAATATCGTGCCTCGTTAATCGGCGATCTCTGGCCCGAGCAAGATCGCGAACATAATCGCGTATTAATTGACACGTTAGTTTCCCGCCGTGCGATCGCGTTTTCCAAGCCGTCGATGTTAAAATATTTCAATACGATCGCCATTTTTCTTACGATTTTATCTGTAGCAGACAGAGTGAAAAATTTAGCAAAGTTCGAACTTTCGGCCACGGTCTGCGTGTGATCCGTTTTATTACATTTTTCAGTAATGGAATCTGAAACACGTGGAATCGTTTTGAACTTGTATATATACCATAATGAGAATATCAGACAGATTGACTTTCAGGATCTCCTTCAAGGACTGAGGACTTAGATTCGAATTTGTCGTCGACTTTGAAGTGTCTCAGATTCCATCAATTGAGCTCTCGAAACAAAAACTCGAGCGAATTGACGAAACAGTCCCCTTAAGACGAATGTCGCCTCTCGTTTTGTCGGTTTTGATCGCTTCTTATTAACATGCCGCGAGATTGCACGCGATACAGGTGCAAAGTGAATGAAGTTCACGGCGAAGAAACATACGCTTACCTACGTAATCCGGTGTCCCAAGGATTTCACGAACCTCCGTCCCTTCTAGTATCACTCTCGAGATCTCGAAGTCGCAGAGCTTCACCTCGCATTCCGGGAAACTGCCCATCATTACCAAATTTTGCGGCTGAAATTTCAATCGATCGGATGAGTGGTTTCTTATTGGCTCGTTTGTCTTCTCGATATCAATTAGCCGGTGGTTAATTAAGTCGTAAGTTAATTCAGTCTTTTTTTTTTTTTCTTTCCTCGGCGGTTTAACTGAATTTCCATCGTAAATAATGCGCAAACGACGCATGCACGATCGGGCAGCGCGCTTTCAAGTCTGGCAACGAACGAGAAACGAGCTCGTTATATATTTTTTTATATTCCTCGTCGATTATCGCGCGATGGAATCCCATTATAAACGGGTTCGAATATTGTTCGAAGGAAATTGAGACGTCTCGCGTCAATTACTTAGATCGAGAAATTTTCATATAAATTGATATTCGATATGTTTATGGCAGATTTTTTTTTTTGACTAATAAATCTACACGGCGAAATGCACGATCAATAACGATGAAAAATAGTCGATATCTTTAAACTGTTCACAACTTTGTTTGAACAGAGAAAAGCTCGCATAACAATTCACTTGGTTGGTATATTTCAAAAATATAAAATCTCTACTTTCTTAAGTTTTCCTTCTTTTTTTTTTTTTTCTTCAAAGATCTTTGTACATCATGTTTTGAAGATTGTAGAAATTCAAACGTTTCTGAAAACGTGAAAAATTTTTTCATTAGTAGATATGTTTTTTTTTTAAAAAGGAAATGTAAGGAATTTATGAAGTGTAAACATTATTGAATTATTGATTACTGTAATAGAAAAACCGTATTTTGAAGTATTAATAAACATTGCCATTTGTTACAGTCATCATTGACGATCAGGTCAAATCAAGTGGACCTTCACCGAGGCAAGAGTTCATTACCAATTAAACTTTCGTCGCGTACACATCGACCAAATTTTAGAACCGAATTCTTAACTAACATTTCTGAACATTTTAATTGTTTAAACATTATTTAATATCTAAAAAGTGTTAAAAGTGAGTTAAAAGTGTTAGGAGTGAGTTAAAAATGAAATTGTAGACTGTGTTCAAACGTATATTGGTGAAGAGAGTTTGAGAAGCAGAAGCATCAGCAGATGTTCAAGAAGTTCAGAGGCATCGAACACAATCAAGTGCAACTTTAATCTACAATTCTTCAACGATTGGTAAGTCGTATGATTTGGTTTCTTTGATGTTGGGTTATACTTGGTCATGATTATTTGAAGTTGAATACGAATTCAGTTGCCATATATCGTACTAGACTGGATCTAGACTGGACTGTAGGAACAATTAATTGATAAATAAACTATTAGACCCTCCCTCTCCCGCGGGGACGACGAGATATCTCTATATGTCGTGTGTGTTTTATTAATATTGACACTTGGTCTTGTTATACATTTCTACACGTGTTTTTTTTGCAATTCTGCATCGTAAGATTTACGAATACACATAAAAACGTATTCGCGATCTACTCATTGATAACAATTTCATGAAAAAAAAAATTTAAACCATAATTACATTTCATCGACAATCTCCCGCAGATGACACAAAGTGTTCACCCTTGGAATCTCACCCACAAACTAAAATTGAACGTCATATGCTACATTTGTAGTTTCAATTCTGTAAACAAAATCGACTGCAATTGACGGTGACTCAGGATCAATTATCTTGCTCTGTAAATTTTGTATTCCGAAACGATTGAGAAGAAACGGGAAATCAGCTATGCTCGTTCACGTTTCTCATTGTCGTGCGCGTTTCGCGAATCCACGATGATCCATGATCGTTGGATAAACGATCTCGAGGAACTTCGGTCCGTGAGAACAAGGCTATCTTAAACATTGTTAGCAACAAACGTCGTTCCTTTCACGCGTCGTTTTTCTCAGCGGGATATCTTGTATCTCTGTATCGTCACAATGTCCAAAGCTATTCAAGCTGTCGTTAAACGGCATTTTCGGCGTTGCTACCGAAAGTAGTGTCGAAAGTATTTCATATGATCCTTTCCACAGCACGCCATTTCGTACTTTAAAAAAAAAATGTAATTAAAAGATAGGACCTCGGCAGAGAGAAATATTTCTTACTTTCTGCTTTAAGGTTCCTTAAAAATGAGCAAAAGCCTAGTGATGAATTCTCAATGCACGTTCGCTCGTTTGAAATAGTATCGTGAGGCCGTAAATGACTACTTATAAATTCGATTTCTAATAAATATTACGACATTCAATGCAACGATAATTATACACATTTAATTTGTACAATTCAAGGTATTAAATTTTATGCAGCTACCCTGTTATAGAAAGATTAGCAATTGTCAATCAGAAATTCCGAAATTAAACAGCGCGAGGCCCGGTTGCCTGTAGTTTTCAATTAGGACCTGAATATTACAAACATCGAAGCTCACACAACTACCAGTTTTTTATTTATGAAAAGTTTGATGACACAAAATTTCTACGGAAACGTGCAAAACGTTCGCATTCTGACTCGAGCTAAAGTCAAAATCACGAGAACGAAGGGACTTCGTTGAAAAACACGTTGGAAGCCGAGAGAATAGGAGCAAAAGAGCTGGATGGGAAACATCGGTGGTTCGCGATTCGCGATTCATCGTGAAGTACATCGCGATCATTTACATAAACACGGTAGATGCTGTTACGATAAATTCGAGCGCGCACCGGCAATAGAATGGAATATTAAGTTTCTCGTTGAACAACGAGCTCCGATCGAGGCTGCGATCTCTTTTGCTGCGTAACTGATGCAAACTAACGCGATTTTTCTCTCTTTTTTTTTTTATTTTTTTTTTCTTTTTTTCAAACGAGAGATTGCGCTTGCGCGCGCTTTATTTGCACGACGAGAGAGTCGCATAAGAATGCAACCTATATTCGATGTCGTCTCGCGAAGCCTAGATTTCCCAACGCAACGGCCGGTTCTTCGCGTTTCCTTATACACGTCACCAAGTGGCCGTTGCGATTTCCCAGCCTAACAAGTACATACACACGTTTAGATCGCGATCGTTGCTAGCCAGACCCACGCCTTCTCGCGCGATCCAGAGTTCGTTTTCTTTTGTCATCATCATTTCTATGACTGATCGTCGAGCATAATTGTAATTACAGCCCGTGGATATTGAATCGAGATAGCCTGCAATTTTCTACGTTCTCCACGTATCCAGTGAAATTGAAATTGATTGAAACGAATTACAAGTTCTATTAACAATCACGTGTATTCTCTCTGTTCAGTTCTATTAAACAAATGCTTCATATAAGTTTATATAAATGTTTTATAGTAATTTTTACGTAGAAGTTTTTATCAAACGAGGGAATGAAAAATTCAATCACTTTGCAGAAACTTGCAAAGTGATTGAAATAAAATATAATTAAAGTGAATTTGAAATAGAAGAAATGTATAAATTAATAATCAGTAATCACGAATAATATGCAATTATATTACAAGGAAATCTTTAATTTGCAATTTGCAATTCGTTAATTAGTTTCTATTACCAAGTTCTATTTTCTAGTATTGCCATTATGGGAGAATATTCATTTCATATTCTTTCATCGTTGTGTCTTCCACTGATATTTTATAATCTACAGGAATTGAAGTAGGCCGTTGAAGTACAAATTATCATAATACCATATCGATTGGCTGTCTAATAAAATTATGTATTCCGTGAAAAATCGCAATCTTCGATCACCGATCGGTTTTGCCCAACTCTGGCACGGAGATCCGCGCGTGCTTTCGAATCGCAGCTTAACGATCGCCGATCTATGAAAATACACGCAATTACGTAAGCGATCCTCTTTCGCGAGGGAGACAAGACCGTTTTATTCCTCTCGTAGAATCTTCCTGGCATTAACGTCCCAGGTCCTTGGAAGATGTGACTGCGTGGGCGAATTTGAATATTCAGAGTATGTGTCTCCTCGATAGTCCGGGCACGCGGCTAATAAATAATGACAAAAGATGTAAAAATAATTCTACGGCCCGCTAGATGCGCAATTCACTTGTTAACGTTGGAACTACTAGTCATACCTTTATTTATCATACTAAAGAGAAACGTGTCGTACGGCAGAAACGAGAAAGTGCAAGAAATAGAGGAAAGTTTGTAATGTCATCGAGAACGCAAGATTTTACTTATGTATTCCAGGGGAAATTGTATATATATTAGATGAAAATTGAACAGCACCGAGGGAGCTTGAAGCGAACCTTCAGACAGTGGTTTGCAATATGCGCTGTATTCTAGATATTTCGAGAAAGTTTGTCGACACGTAAAGTTCACTATGTATTTTTCAACATATCAATCGATATAGCTCTCGATGTTCTGTATGAAAATATGCGTCGAGGAATTAAATTATTGAAATATATGCAATGATTTCACATGAATTATTCTATTCTGATCTTACCGATTTTTCTGGAACGATTTTCGATGCGTACAATCAAAATTGAAAGACGTTCACTTTCGCGAGGGGATGAACAGTCACAATGTAATTCCTTCGCAATGAAAAATTTGAAACGAGACAGTGAGAATTCTGATTTACCTAGATAAGTATCGAAATTCTTACGCGTAAGTGCAAATATCTATAAGATGAAAATCATTTTTTAAAAACACTCGCTAATGACACGAGTCAAACGACGTGTTGCTCAAGCTTCGAGAATTAAAAGAAACGAGACCACTCGTGACAAATCTAACGCGCCTCCATTTAATCGACTTCTCTCTTATTTCGGATCAACCGATTGAACGAATCGAATGGACGTCTCTGAATCCTACGCGATCGAATCTCTCCTGAAATCGACTCTCGCTGACCAAACAACTTTCGTCGTGGGCCGAACCTTCGTGTAATGTGTCGAAAATCTCTCTTCTCCTCGAGAGATGTTTGTCTCGGTAAAATGGTATTTACACGACGGCGAAACGTTAATTCTGCTTGGTGCTTCGTGATTTTATTAACACTGGAACTACCAATTGAAACATAAATCTTGTATCTTGTAAAGTGTAATAGGGAATAGAAGTTTATAATATAATAGACAGATTATTTAGTTGCAAAAATTCAACTTAACTGATTTACTTTTTATACGTTCAATAC